GAGATGACGTCCTCACCGTATGTATCCACCAGCTTGGTATGGGCTTCCTTTGCATTCCAGCCGAAATCGTGGAGCAAAACCAAACAGTGGCGCAGGTACGTTTTGTCACAGTGCAAATTGTGCGACATTGTGTACTGCAAATGCAAGCTCGGTGAGTGATAGCTAGTGTAATGAAAGAGTATAATGTACACGTCACGCACACGTGATGACGTAATACCAACATCCATGCGAACGAAATAGGAGAGGATCAAACACGTGTATAAGAACTTATGCGACAACCTAATATTTGAATGAGACTAGAAATAACTCCATCACAAGATGGAGACGCTCATTCTCGACAATCTTCCAACAGCGATTTCTGTTTTTGAATAATGCAAGAGTACCTTACGCGCTGAAGAAATGATGACACGCAACGGGGATTTGCTCGAGCAACGACTTCGCAAATGCCTTAGGCTGCGTTCATGTTTTGGAATGATGCGCATAGACGAGCATCAACACTTGAAAGCTATAGGTCGAGAACAAGCCACAGAGAGGACCGCCCGGCGCCAGATACTAGTATTTATGGAAACAGCTGGAGAATATTGGAATACTAGACTGTATGTAGACTGTGTAGTAAGGCGTTATAGAATGACGTCGCAGTTTCGTCGCAGTTGAGCAAGGAGCAGATTTTTATACTTTATTTAACTTTTTCAATTTGGCATTGTTTGCACCAAATAATTTCATTCAGGTGTATGGTCCGGAGCTTCATTTAATTGCATGGTATTGGCTTTGAATCGTGCAGTTGAAATGATTCCTTCTTTTCAATGCATGCGCTTTTTATTTCGAGGTTCGTTGGCTTTCTCGTCGAGGATCGCTCTCACTACTCACAAGCTCCGCTTCAATAGAATATGTAAATTAGCGCACTTCGAACACTGTCTCCTTCTCGACATCAATTGTTTCAGGGAAGTTATTGTACATTTGGATGCTTCTATCCGCTGCTTACATGCTGGTGTTACCATTCGTTAATAGAACGCATCCTTATAATACAGTTGCGTCGGCTTACCTTTATTCACCAATGATCACCGACGACGCTGATGAAAGTGATTAAAATATATTTTTGCATGCTTTCGACAATCCTCAGCACTCAGAGCAAAGGCAAATTTTGCATGGGCGTAGTTCAAGTTTAATGGTCCTTTCTACGTACCGTCTCACTTCTATGACAAGTATTGCTCTAACCTACACATCTGTATTCATCTCATCTTTCGCGTCAATTTCAATACCAAGACTTCATCCACCGTTTTACTTGGAATCAGCAGCTATCCTCATAACAGCTTTCGCCACGGGTTTCAGTGAGCTATGCACCTGTGGTACATAGCTCACTGGAACGCGTGGCGTGAGTGGCGTGAAAACTACTGCATAAGCACTGGTTGTTGTAGTTGATTTGTGAGAATTTCCCCCCCCCCCTCCCCGTTTTTCTGAGAAAGGCTGAAGCATTATTTGGAAAAATATCAGGGAGTTAGAAGGATTCGGTGGGAGGGAGTTAACTCTGGCGAAATGGCTTCCCAGGAGTACTGACATCGCTATTAAGGTAGTGCTGTACCCTGACTTATACCCTAAATGGAGTGTTCTTATACTCAAGGAAAAAAGCCTTCTTCAAGGGTACAGTATCTGAGCTCTTTATTTACGTGTGTCGACAAGGATTTCCGGCGTAATGCAATCCCTCTCCTTGATGATAGACGAAATTTTGTTTAGCAGGCTCTAGTAGCCGTAAGGTTCCTGTAATTGATGGGGGGTTCTCCTGTTTACGCACTCGCTCTCCAGATGATGAAAGATGGAAGTGAAGTTAGCAAATGCAGAAATTGTTGATGAAGATTACTTTATAATATTTTCATTTAGGAGGCAGCTCACTACACAACACTCCTGGTGGGAATACATAACGTCACTGTGGTCGTCGTGGTGCTGAGCCTTTACGCAACTATTTGTGTGTATATTGTAAGAATACGTCGGATTTCCAAAGGAGTAAATCAGAAACTGCAAATACAGGTAGTTAATGTGAAAAACTGTCACAGCATTTCAAACACAAATGCTATCGTAAAGCATTGACGCAGAATGTATTTTGGAGACAATAAAAGAATCAAGGTCGAATACTTCCACCGATCCTCTTTTCGAGATGTGGCACAATTCTACTGGCATGCTGAAAGCGAAGAAGCCTATGCAATGACTAGCGGAGAGCAGCCAATATACAAGTCACTGCTTCTACAAATCCAGATAATCTGGTACCAGTCCACCGTTCCCAGAAGGTAGAATGCTCAGTTGGTCTGTGCCTCAGCCCACTCGTAACCCCCGTGACTAGGCCCTCTGACCGCGCGTAATAGGCGAGGCACCTCTTTAATACACTCCTCCGCCTTGTAGCCTTGCGTACATACAGATAACGCTTTACTTTACATAGCTGCAGTATTCCAGCAAGGGTATGGGGGACGTGCTTGATAGAGTGGATTGGGGAGCTCCCGAGACACTGTTTTTCACAGTGCTACGGGCTCGGAGACATCATTGGTACAAAAGGCTATTTTTTCTGGGTTTCGCCCTCTCACGCCCTCCAGTTCCCTCTTTACAAGAAAGCTGCAGCTACTAATCATGATATTCTAACTATTTCAGTTGTTTATTCAAGCTCTACTTATTTGTACAACAACCTCTATCACGTCTCTTATTCACGTTATGATGGGATTTTTCATACTGACACGAAATATCGTCATTACATCTAACATTTTATGGCAGCTAAGCCATGGTAAATTTTTTCTGGTCAATCTTCCCACACTTATATAATTGTCTAGGAAACTTCCGATGCCCACAATCGTACAAACTCACGACAACTACCCGGTTGCTGTGAGCTTGCCGAAGAAGCCCTCCAACTGAGACTCTAAATTGATGAGATGGTCCCCTCAACATATTTGAAAACTCCAAAACCTTTGGATGAAGCATCTCCGCAAGAGTATGGACGGCCAGCATCTCTTGCATGACCTCAGCCATGAGGCCAACTTGCCAACTTCACGAGTGAATCTTTGATGAGAGGCACTGCGGCGAACAAGTGACGACGACATCCCACAACATGCAGCGTTCTTTGGAAGCCATCACTACTAATCAGCACCGCTGCTGATCCATTCACTTCGCGGGAGGAGACACAGTCGTCCAAAACAGGTTGCGGTGAGGAATCCCCACTCTGTGAATGATGTCGCCATTTCAAGCTCCCAGCCCGAAGATTTGCAACATATGTCGATAGTCCTTCGGCAGAAATGCTGAGAGTAGAATTTTTGAAGGATGTTGTGCGATGTACCAGAGCTCCATCGTCGAGTCTATGCTTCTCCGCTCTGACTGAAAGGAGTGAAATGACTTTCTGTATGATTTGGACATCGACCAAGAGAGCTTGGTACTCTACAATTACAACTCTCTACTGTTATGAGGCTCTCCCGAGGGCACGGCAATCATACCACTCTTCAGAGCTTACCCACTCGTTGCTATCTATTCATTAGCTATCTCAGAGCACCCAAAAAACGTTCTCTTCAAAATATTCCACCTCAGAAACTCACGAAAGCTGTTCTAAAAAAAACTGGAGAGTTTCGTGGCACCTCTTTGTAAGAACGCGAGACCCCACACATTTTTTATGGAGCTCTTGTAGCAACTTACAACAATGGTATAATAGAGGATAAAGTCTTCGCCGTTGATCAATCCCTTTGTGGGATGCGGCACGCATTCTACTTCCATTCAGAATCGTAGTGGCTTATTGAATGCGATGTGGCCTATACAATGACTTGCGGTGGCCATCAGTGTTTTATCCTCCCAGACGAATCTGGTACCAATTTACCGTCCCCGGAGGGTAGAAGGCTTGGTTGGCCTGGGCGGGAGTCGACCCGGGATTTGAACCCGGCGCCGCGCGAGTGGTAAGCGCGCCACTTGTCACTACACTACCTCCGCGCCGATGGTATGTATAGAATTGATAATCTCCGAAGCATGACAATAGTAGAGGAGAAACAGGAGAAAAAAGTGAAAGAAAAAGGAGTAGGAAAATTCAGTGAATGTTATATGCACATGAAGAGACAAGAGAGAAATATGGTTCACCGAAAAAGCAACTGTGTACGCGGAAAAAGAAGTGGTGGGCTGAGTAAAAGGGGATGCCAATTGGCGGCCAACACTGCAACCGTGGAGCTGCGGCTTCGGATACCAACTTAGTAGGTCCGCCAACCCTTCCCAAGCCCTCGCGTAACTCGTAACTCGTAACGAGTTAATTTGGTTTGTCGAGGCGGGGCGAACTCGATAGGGATGAGACCTCTACAGACACTTATGTTAGG